CTCGGTAGCTTAAAGGGCCGGGCAGTGGGGCTCGCCCCGGGCGGTTCCCCGGGCATCCGCTCCGCGGTTCCCCCTGTGACGTTCCTTTAGTTTCGCGTTGCTTATCTCATCTTAGCTTAGCTTATCTCATCTTACCTTAGCTTCATCTTAGCTTAGCTTAACTTCATATAGATGTTAGATATTGCTTTCCTAGATCCTCCAACTCCTAGGTTCACACTGGGATAATTAAACTATGATTTCTAGCATTACCCTTTCACGGACTATTACCATTATTATAGATATTGCGACCACGACTACGACTACTCGTACTACCTCGACCACTACTACTATTACTACGACTACTTTTACTATTCTTACTACTTTTATTTTTTCTATTACTACTACTTCTACTACTACTACTACTACTACTAGTACTACTACTACTACTACTACCACCACCCCTACCGCCAATACTACTACTACGATTACGGCTGCGACGACGGTTCTTGCAATTATAATTCGTAATATTACTGATATTAGTGCTACTTTTACTACTACTACTATTACTACTACTACTACTACTACTACTACTACTACTACTACTACTACTACTCGCACTACTACTTCTACTACTACTGCTATTGCGAGTATTGCTGCAATTGCGATAACGACCAGTGCCCTTACCAGCTTTACCAGCTTTACCCTACGTGCTACTACTACTACGACTACTACTACTACTACTACTACTTTTACTACTACTACTACGACTACTACCATGTTAAATTACGCCTACCACAACTATTGTTAGTACGGTTACTACTACTACTATTTTTACTACTACTACTATTCCTACCAGCGCCACCACTTGTTACTACTACTACTACTACGACTACTGCCAGTACTACTATTACTACCTGTACTACTATTGCTACTACCTCTATTACTACTACTACTACTACTACTACTACTACTACTACTACTACTACTACTACCAGTACTAGTAGTATTATTGCTACTGCTACGATTACCACCGGTACTATAACCACTACGAGTAGTGCCACTCCCACCACGAATACCATTACCAGTACCATTACGACTACTAGTGCTACTACTATTGGTACGAGTTGCGTCGACCACCTCCTACGACGATTACCTCTACTCCTACTTTCTCTATCATAGCTACGAGTACTATTTCTACCAGCGGTTTTGTATCACTACCCCCACTAGTGCGGCTACGACCTGTACGACCTGTAGTACTACCCCCGAATGTTACGGTTCGTATCAGTCGTCGGAGTGCTATTGTTACTACGGCGACCGCTATTTGTTTGACGATTCGTCCTACCACCAATACTACTACTACTACTTCCACTACTAATGTTTGTTTTCCGGTACTCTTGCCATTTCTTCTATTATTAGTACCACTACCATTGCTACTACGACTACCACTACTAGCCGGACTACTATTACTACTCCTTTTGCTACTACTACTACTACTACTACTGCTACCTCTTATTACTATGACCAATACATTACCACCACTGCTTCTATTATTACTAGTTCTACTGCCGCTACCCGGCTTCCAACTATTGCTACAATTTCTACTACTCAATTACTAGTACGACGAGTATTACTAGTTATATTATTACTATTATATTGTTATTAATATTATTATTACTACTAATACTACTACTTCTACTACTACTACTACTACTACTACTACTGCTACTATTACTACTACTACTACTACTACTTCTACTACTACTACTACTACTACTACTACTACTACTACTACTACCATTACAAGTATCATTATTACTATCCTGTAACGCCCCTCGCGGGGGTAGAAATCAATTGAATCACAGTCACTCTCTAGAACGTCTTCGTGACGCTTGTTTCTATCCTTGAGACCTCTTGGAGCGTCCTGGAGCCTCCTTCGGGACGTCCTGAAGTCTCCTGGAGCTTCCTGATGCCTCCTGAGGCCTCCTGGGGCTTCTTGGCGGCTCTCTAAGAAGCCACGCGCGGGGCCTCAAAATTGGCGACAGTTTCAAGAATGGGAGCCTTCCCGTTGAGAAAGAGGGCGCGGTGGACGTTCAAAAATTACGACAGTGTCACATTTGAGGCCCACAACCGTGCCGGGCGCACCCCGGCGCGAATCCCGGCCTTGCATCATTGTACAGTGCGATTTGTCCCCTCCCCGCTGTCCCGCCAGCCCCCCGGAGGGCTTGTTTTCTGAGATTCGCTGGTATGAAACACTTCCCCCCCCCTCTCGGCGGTGACGGAGTGCAGGCGGCGGGGGAGGGCGGGTTGGCCGGGTGGCTGGCTGGTCACGGAAAGCAGGCGAAGGGGATCGGCGGGTCGGCGGGGTGACGGGGTAGGCGGCTGGGCTGGTTGGCTGACGGGTTGGCTGGGTGGCGGGGTGGCTGGGTGGGCTTTCTGGCTGGTTGGACGGGTTGGCAGGTTAAGTTGGCTAGGGCAATTCGTTTCGTCTTCTACTACTTCAGTACCGCTACCACTATTACTATGACTACGACTATGACTACGACTGCTACTGTTACTACGTTTTTTGTTGTGTGAAGGGTTTACGACCACTGCTATTTCGACGAGCATCGCTATTACGACGACCACGGCGATCACAATTAGTACTTTTACTTCTATAACTATTACTTCTACAACTATTGTTTGTAACATTACGACTACTACGGCGTCGATTCTTAGTATTAGTGCCACGACTACTATTTCTATTACGTTTACTACTATTGTACCACGAGTACTTCTACTGCTATTAGACTTTATTGCGGCTGCTTCTACTACGATTGACACCCTTACAACTAAACTAGTGGTCGTGGCCGTCGTCGTCCTTTGCGTCGTCGTGGTGGAGATCATGCCTGGGTGTATTCCCCCAGGCTCCCCCATCGTGGGGTACGTTATAATCGATAGAATGGTCGAGCATTTCCCCATGGGGATTGCAATAGGATTCAGTGGTTCTGGTTGTAGTCGTGATTGTAGTCGTGGAATGTGTTGTGATTATGCTCACGATGGTAGTCGAAATCGTGTTCTTGGTTGTAGTCGTGAGCGAAATTGTAATCCTGGTCGTAGTCTCAAGCGTCGTCGTGGACGCGGCGGAAATTCGATGTCCTTACTGTTGGGTGGGCTCGATCATGTTTTTTCCCGTCCGTGGACTAATACTCCATGGTTTACCCCGCACAACAGGAATGTTGAGCACGTTTGTAAGAAGATTGCAATCTAGATCGGCACATTTTTCGCCGCAGACGTTGCTCACAATGTCCTCTTTCGTCTCGTCGTCGTTGTCGCTGTTGCGCGGCAGGTGCCGCGGGTGACACAATTTTTTCCGCTATTGGTGTTGCTCCAGTCCGTCAATAAGGGCGTCCAATAGATAATTACTTTCTATTGTTTGGGGGGGTCTAAAGCCCGTTCAGGGTCACCCAAGCACTGGGAGGCTGGGGCATAGCCATAACCACCGCCTCGGGGATGGATCTTCGGGCACTTCGGCAGGCGGTGTATATGTACATATCAAATATCTGCCCCCCCCCCGGGGCCAACGTGAATCCATATCCAACGCCCGCTGGGCTTCCAGGACGTCGGCTCGCCAGGCGGTGGATATGGACAGAGGCCCCCTCGAACGCACCTTGTTCAGACGGTCGAGCGCGTCCCCCACTTCAGGGTCATCTTCGATCCGATCGATTCGAGCCGATATCGATCCTGGCCCGCCTGATCCGACTCGATTGCGGCATTCCGACGAGCCGGTGCGGCTCGATGCTCGCATGGCGTCGCTGTGCATCGTGTCGCCGCCGATCCGATTTCGATCGTGTGCCGATGCAGCCCGAGCCGACGCACAGTCCGATTCTATCCGACTTCCCGATTCGATGCCGCCTGATTTTGCCGCAGGGCTGGACCTAAACGCTGTTTTGTTGGACTTCGGCTGTGTTTTGTTTTTCTCTTTGGCAGGGAGGTATCGGAAAACAGGTAGAGCAAAACGAAGAGCAAAACGAAGACAAACAGAAAAACAACGTTTAGGTCCAGCCCCGTTTTGCCCATCGTTGTTCCCGTGGGAGTGTTGCCCCCAGCATCTCGGAGATCTCACGGGCAGTGCTGAGCGCAGGGCGGAGCTGCGCACTTGACGTTTGCTGGAGGCCGGCGTTTCTGAGTGGCCTGGGCGGCCCTCGGGGCGTCGCGCTGGCATTTTCCGGGTCCGTGGGGTGCCTGTTGTGTTCCAGCTGGTGGTGCACGTGAGGGGTGGCGGCGACTATTCTGGGGCCTGTCTGAGGTAGCCTCCTCCTCCTCCTCCTCCACTTCCTCCCTCTCCTCCTCCCCCTCCTCCGCGTCCTTCTCCTCTTCTCTCCTCCTCTCTTTTCATCGTCTCTCTCTCGCTCCTCTTCTCTTCCGTCCTCCGCTTGCGGTGCCACTGTCAAGTCAGATCCTGCGTCCTGTGCCTCCTCCCTCCTGCTCCTCCCTCCTCCCTCCCTCCTCTCTCCTGCACTTCCTGTCCCTCGTCCTCCTGCTCTCCCTCACTTCTCTTCCTCCTTTTCCCGATTTCTCCGTCATTTTCGTTTCCTCTCTCTCTCTCTCTCTCTTCCTCCATGCTCAGGATTGTGCCTTTTACGCCTGCTCTTTAGTCCGTGCCCTCTCGTTGAAGCCGAGGGTACTGGTAAGAGCTGGGTGTATTCGGGCATGCCGCGGCAACTTCAACCCTGCAGCTACGAACTCTCACCATCCCCGGAGCAGGCTTCCCCGCACGGCCTGCCCCACCGAAGGGCGGCTTCTCGTGGAGGCCACTGTGCGCTGCGCGGTGGACTGAAGGGGAACCGGGACACACAAACAAATACACACAGATAAAAGGATGCCCCATATTTTCTTATATTTTCTGGGATTTTGTCTTCCCCCCCATTCCCCATAGTTTCTCATATTTTCGGGGGGATCGACGATGAATTGTGTCTGTGTGTGTTTCTGTTTCCTCCTGGTGGACTGGTGCCCCGACCTCGGGGCCGCGCGGGTTCCTGCAGTCGGACGTCTCCGACGTCAACAACCTCATTGGTGGCCCCCTCGGCCGCGCGCGGCAAGCTTCTCTGCCCTGGCATCGCTCGGACGTGTGCATTTTTTCAGGGCGTGAATTACCTGCCTCGCTTTCGCTTCCAGGCAAAACCAAGTCATACCACGCGCCTCCTCGTCAAGCGGCCTGACCAGTACAGGCCGTAGTTTGGCATCGCTTCGTATCTCTCGGAAGCGAGGGTGGCCAAGAGCGAGGCAGGTCTGTTTGCCCCCTATTCTTTCCCGGCGAGAACCACTGAGGACGGTCCTGGACCATCGAGCAAAAAAAACGCGCACGAGACCGAACAAGTGCACGAGGAGGAGGAGGAGGAGGAGGAGGAGGAGGAGGAGGGGAAATGGACGTCCGAGCGAGGGCGAGTTGCGGGGCGCGCCCCAGCGTGGGAGAGGGCAGGAGGAGGGCGGGCCTCCCGGTGGCAAGGAGGGCGCGGGCCTCGGCCCTTCTGCGAGGCGGTCTGCAGTCCCTGCCTGGAGCCACATTCTTCTCCTCCTCCTCCCCTCCTCTCCTCCTCCTCCTCCTCCTCCTCCCCTCCTCCTCCTCCTCCTCTCTCCTCCTCTCCCCTCCTCCTCTTTCTCCCCTTCCTCTCATTCCCTCCCTCCCCCGCCTCATCCTCCTCCTCGTCTCCTTCTGTGTCCCCCTCCTCCTCCTCCCCCCCCTCCTCCTCCTCCTCCTCCTCCGTAGCCATTTTGGCTCAAGGCTATGCTTTGGCGGGCGGAGCCCGCATTGGCAAAACTGGATACCGCTAGTCCGCGGCAGCTTCCACCCTTCACGGAGGTCCCTCGTTCCCCAGTGCGCGACCAGCGGCTCCCAGCGGAGTGCGTATCTGGGGCGAGGGGTTCGCTAGCCTCCACACCGTCGAACCCATGGTCCAGGCAGACGGGTTCGTCAAGTGAGTGTCATGCGAGTACAAGTGGAAAAGGAAAGGTCGGCAAGACGTGCTTCAACTGTGGCAAGGAGATGGAGTTCGGAGTGCAGCCACCGTGGCGTACGGGATCACCAGCATCGAAGCCATCACGGGGAGTCTGGGACAACCGTATCCAGACAGCACTTCGCGGTGAGCAGCGTGATGGTTGGAAGGAGTGGAGCGAATGGCCCAAGTCGCGCCGTCATCGCAAGAAGGGCGGCGCACTGGTCGACGAGCACAAGCAAGAGGTCCAGACTCCTGAACAGATACTCAAGGCGCTGCAGGTGGCGGCTCCGCATCTCGACCCGACGGCGATCGAGGGGTTCAAGCAGCAGCTGCCGCCGCCTGTGGTGCAGAGGGACCCAAACCAGGAGTACCAGCACCAGTGTGCGCAGGAGCGCAAGGCCAAGTTGGCCTTGGACAAGGCGGTGGAGTCCGAGGCCAAGGCGCACGACTGGTACATGGAGCGTAAGGAGGCGGCCTTGCACGCGGCTCAGGAGGCAGTCCGTGCGCAGGAGCGGGCTGAGGAGGCTCTTCGGGCCTAGCGCGGGCAGGAGCGCACAGCTGTGGCTCCCAGTGGGGCGTCCAAGCCAGCGGCCACGCTCAACCTCACTGCCCTCTTCGAGAGCGATGAGGTCCACTTCGAGGCGGGGCCCGCTTTCTCCCTGGAGGGGCTCGAGGTGGACGAGGGCGACAAAGAGGCCTTTCTGGCGTTGCAGGCGCGCTTCGCGGCGGAGCTCAAGCAAAAGATCGGCGAAATCTTCGGAGAGACGGCCAGCAACCGTGGCCAGTGCAGGAAGGAGGCCGATGAGATGCGGCAGCGCCTCAAGGCCAAGCGGCAGCGGCGCGAGGAGGCGCCTCCTGCCGAGCAGCCTGGAGAGCCTCCAGCGGAGGCTCAGGCGACAGCCGCGGCGGCCGCGGCAGAGGCCGCCGGTGCCGTTCCTTCAGCGGGCAGTGCGACTGCGCGGACCGCTGAGAGACTTCCTGTGCCTGGCGATCACGCTGCTGGCGCCGCTGGCGAAGAACCGAAATTTGATGACAAGGTACAGCGGCTGCTGGCAGCTGCCAAGGGTGACAAGCAGGGGCTTTGACGTGCTGGAGTTGGCAGGCTCACTAGCATCGATGTCCAGGCCAACGGGCTCAGCACTCACCGCGGGGGCAGAGCGAGCGGCTACGGGCCCCGCACTCACCCTTGCGGCAGAGCTAGCCACATCGTCGGGCTTCGCGCTCGCCCTCGAGACAGAGCGAGCGGCTTCGGGCCCCGCGCCCACCTCAAGGGCAGAGCAAGCCGCAAGTACTTACAGTTCGGCGTCTACCAGCAGCGGGGCCCACCATCGGAAGCAGGAGGCCGCGGACGCGCGGGTGGCCGAGACCCTCCTTCCCGACGAGCGCGCCCCCCAGGCCGCCGATGGGTGGAGCCTGCAGGGAGACAGCGAAGGCCCCGCTGCACATGACGTTCGAGTACGGGGTCGCAGCTCGCCCGTGGGATGGGGCCGACCCGCGGCGCCTCAGGGAGCAGCCGACCAGCTCAAGCAGTGCGCTGGCCAGTGGGTCTCACGCTTGGACGCCAGCGAGCACGGCGAGCACAAGTGGATGCGATGGTGCGTGCCCTACGTCATGGAGGTGGAGGAGCCTACGTCACGCGACGGTGCGCGCCCTACGCCCACGCACTGCAGCCTTCAGCGGGTGGGGGAGCTTTGCACGGAGGCTTGGCGAGGAGAGGGCCCGACGAGACGCGCTACCCTGGTGCTCTTGGCATCGCTCGCCGCACAGCCTGAGTATGCGGCCTGGCGCAAGACAGTCTCGGAGATATGAGATGCAGCGCGTCGGGTCATCGAGGCTTTCCGCGCCGCGCTCCAGGGCCGAGCACCTGCAGACGAGCCTATCGAGTACTACTACGACGACGTTGACGAGAAGGGGGGCGCTGGTACCCCTTCGACGGCTCCACCTACATCGACGTGGGCAGGATCGCCGACAGCGACATCCTCATCCCCACTGGCGCTAGATGCAGCTTCGGAAATAAAAAAAACGCAGTCAGTGCGCCCTTCGAGATCGAAGGCGAACAGTCAGGAATATTCACAAACGCGGCATGAGGGCAGCAACGAGGCCCACCATCGGATGCAGGAGGCCGCGGACGCGCGGGTGGCCGTGACCCTCCTTCCTGATGAGCGCGTCTCCAGGGCCGCCGACGGGTGGGGCCCTCCGGCGGAGCGCGAAGGCCCACCTGCAGATGAGCACGGTCCCTTTGCTGATTTGGAAGAGTACCTCGATAGTGTGCAAGCAGGGGACATCCAAGAGCCTCGAGCACATGGCATTGAGCAGTTGGCCGAGCCTGTGCTGGAGAAGGCGACGGTGGTAGAGCAGGTGGCCTCCCCGAAGCAGTAGCAGAATTGGCCCAGGGCGGGGGCCAAGCGAGAGCAGGTGGCCTCCTTGACGAAGCTGGACTTGCCCAAGCTGCTTGACCAACCAAGGGATGGTCGTCACCGTGTCTCGGCGCTGTACGGTAACATCACAGAGTGGGGCACTCAGATCCACAAGTACGTGGCGAGCCAGACGGAGTTTAACACGTGTATGTTTGTCGAAACTCATCGCAGCGAAGAGCGCGCCGCTGAGGTGCAGGCAGCGGTGAGGAAGGGCGGTTGGAAGCTGGTCGCCATGCCTGCCAGGACGAGTGGGCGATCAGTGACAGGCACATCAGCAGGGGGGGCCATCCTGGCACGTACCCGCGTGGCGACCTCCTCTTTCGAGTACCTCGCCAAGTACCGCGCTGGCTTCGCGGTTTCTCGGCCCTCGTCTGGCACATGAATGGTGGCAATGTGGTTATGATCTGTACCTACCTCGCTCCCAAGTTCGGGCTCACCAAGGGGCCCAACGATAAGACGCTGAGGGCACTCGTCTCTTTCGTGAGGAGCTTGGCGGACCCGTGCGTGATCATGGGCGACTGGAGCCATTCTCCATCGCAGATTGCGCAGGCCCGCATCCAGGAGTTCCTTCGAGGGGTGGTGCTGACCCCGCCCTGTGCAATCACATGCGACAAAGGGCAGGGCTCCATGATCGATTTCGCGATTGTCAGCGAGGGTCTGAAGGACAGGGCGACCCTCACCCCAGTGCTCGCAGTGCCATGGAAGACCCATTGCGGCATCGCGGTCTCGTTCGAGAGGTCCGAGCAGCCGATTTGGCATAGGAAGTTGCGCCTGCCCAAGGAGCTGCCGCATGCGGATACGCCCAAGAAGGAAGCCGACCCCACGAGCAAGAGCTCACTACGTCGAGAAGAAGCACGGCTAGCTCGGCGCGGCAGAGTGGCTCCAGAGCTGCGGGAGGCTTTTGATCTGACCATCCTCCACCGGCGCCGAATGCACTTCAGGAGGACGGAGTCGAGTACCGTGTCTCCGCTGAGGTGTGGACGCAGGCTAGCTTGCTTGTAGGCGAGCCGCCTTCCTTTGCCGTGCCGCCAGTTGGCCTGGAGTTGGAGGGCAATGGAGTTGCTCGCCACTTTCTGCATGCGCCGCGGCCCGAGGCGACGCAGCGAGTCAACGACTGCTACGCTCGCTGGGTCGCTAGAGTGGAGGTGTCCATTCTGACGGCGTCCAGAGTTGAGAAGGAGGAATGGGGGCCGTTCCAGGGACGGGCCCAGGGCTTTCCCTATTCTGGCAGAAAGCGAGGGCCTCACCAGGCCGAGCCTACCAGGCAAACTGCCCCGCGGAAAGGTGTGCGATTTCCACCGCGCTCCTCAAGAGATGTGTTTCCCGACGGCTCTCAGGCAAAGATGAGAGACAACTAGGGCAGTGCATGAGCAAGCTGCGCAAGCAATGTGAGCAGCTTGGCGGGCAAGACATGTCTGAATTTATAGGCAAAGACATGCAGGAGCTTGGCGGCACCACGATCGCGTGTTTATATGATCCCGGCCTCCAGAGCGAAGCTGATCTTCCAGCGCTTGTCGAGGCTGCGGATAGACTCGCAGCGTGCGCGCACGCTCGAGGGATTGCCTCGTCTCGCAGTGCCTTTGAGTGCTGGGCGAAGGAGCAATGGAAAAAGAAGCCAGGCATCCTGCACCGACACGTTAAGCAAGACCCGCCTGTTCCC